ATGGAATGTCAAACAAAACTCTCAGCTGGGATGCTATTTTATATTCCTGAGTGGTTGCAAGTAATTCCTGAAATTATTCTGAGGGTGAATTCAGTCTGCCCTTGGCCACTGCTTCCCTTTCCTGACCCCATCACTACGCTGAGCACACTTTCCTGGAGCTCACTGCAGACGTATCCTAAACTCCGGTGAAGCACAGCTTGTTCAGAGCTCTGAGTATACCATCTGATACTGAGCTTTGCAAAACTGCTCCAAAAAGGCTTTGTGACTGATGAATGCCTGACCAGGGGAGACCTCAGTGACTGTGGGTCGCCGGTACTTTTAAAAAGTACTCCAAGTGGATTTGTGCTGTTTTCCCAAGGCCTCTCAGTGCTTGTCTGGTCTGTCACATCCACAAATCGCAGCAGTGCTCTGTCACAGAAGTTCAGACCAGTAATGGCATGATGGCTCTTTCCCTACTTCCTTCTTCAAAAACCACCAGCAGAACTTTAATCTACATTCCTGGTCCTCTGAACAACCAACAAAGAGCCACTTCTGAGAAGCATCAAATCTGCTTTCCAGAAATATATTCAGAGATAGAAAATAAGGATTTTATAAGAAAAAAAACATTGTGTAAAAAGAAAAATGGCTAGTTACTTAAGCTAAAAAAAATGTGCAGTTGGCTTTGAATTTATAAATCAGAAAGTATAAAATCAAAGACAGCCACATTTTAACATAAGGAATTTAAATATGTCTTAATTTTCTTATTTAAAGTATACTTTACTGCTGATAGCACTTACATATAAAATACAAAGTAGTATTTTCAAAAATAAGAATTATTTCAGGCTATCTAAGATAGCTTTAACATATAGGTCCTAAGTCTCCGAGGAATTAAAATGCAATCATTTCAAAAGCCAGTTTCAAGATTCAGTATGACAAATCTAACAACGACTTTTTAGTATGCTAATATTTGATTAAAATGTGATGACAGAGCTACAAACAAAACAGCTCTGAATCCTAAAAAAATTTTTGAAGCCAGTATTTCTTCTAAGGAAGGAGAAGGGCTATTCTGTTGAACTCAATTCACATAGGAGAGCCTACATACAGGTCATTGTTCTATGCTCTTGGGAGTAAGGGAATATAAATTTTTTTTTCAACGTTTATTTATTTTTGGAACAGAGAGAGACAGAGCATGAACGGGGGAGGGGCAGAGAGAGAGGGAGACACAGAATCAGAAACAGGCTCCAGTCTCCGAGCCATCAGCCCAGAGCCTGACGCGGGGCTCGAACTCACGGACCGCACGATCGTGACCTGGCTGAAGTCGGACGCTTAACCGACTGCGCCACCCAGGCGCCCGGGAGTAAGGGAATATAAAGACAGCTTCTAGGAGCCTAGAATTCAGAAGGGAGAGACAATTCTATAAATGCCTACTTAGAAAGAGAAGTCCCTGACATGAGAGGCATGAAACGCTGGGATGGAAGAATAATATTGATGAGGATGATGTTAGTTACCAGTACTACCACCAGCACCACCACAAATGGTCTAGACTTTCACAGATCTAAACTACCCAGCAAGCCCCTGAGGTAGGTTGCATTCCCCTTCCCTTCACCATTTATAAATGAAGAAACTGACATTTATAGCATCTAGGTAAATTTGCCCAACATTACACAGACAGGCAAGTGGTGGGTCCAGATTTAAATCCATTATCTGCCTGACTCCAGAACCTTTGCTCTATCCACCGTATCAGGTTGTCTCACCGTAGTTCAGATGAGGAAGAGAAAATATCTCCTGGGAGCTCAGTAACACTGAGGAATCCTTCAGGAATGAGCTTTAAAGGAATGTGAGGATGAAGGTGGTGGCACTGGAGGCAAGGTGCTCCGTGTGAGGGAACACTCCTGCAAGGCCCAGCAGCGGCACAGGGTGGGCTGAACTAAGGGACTCAGATGTAGTCGCCTGGGGTGATTTTCAAACTATGCTTCTTGCAGCCCGCTAAGTTCTCTTCAAGTGTCTCAGACACTGAGAAAGGATGAGACGGAAAAAGCTTAGAGTATAGGGAGGGAAGAGGTCCAAGAAACACAACTCTGGGAATACTTTCGCTTAGCTTGATACTAACAGAGGAGTGTGCACAGAAGGTGAAGAAATGGAAGAAGCTAAATCAGCCCATATGAAAACTGGAAGAGGGTCTCAGGAAGGGGGTATGAATTCTGGCAGATGGGCAGAAAGGCCAGAGAGCAAAGGACTCAGAAGTGGCTACTGGATTGAAGATGAGGAAACAGTCAGTGACATCAGCTCAGCAGTGGTGGAGGGATGGAGAAGCCATCTGCCAGGGTTTGAGATGTGAGTGAGGAGTGAGGAAGCGGAGGCACTAGGTGTGCCAGACTTTTAAGAACTTTGGTGGTAAAAAGGAGACAGGTTGTAACCTAAGAGCAACAAAGATCTAAGGAAGATTTAAAAAGGAATACACTACCCCAAAGTGGATGTAGAACATGAAATGTATTTCCAGAGTTAATTTTTAATTTCCTGAGTTCACTGCTGTAAGAATTTCAAGCCATTTTGGCAGATATATCCTGGCATGTGCATGAACCTAACTGTGGAGATAAACGCAGTAGCAGCTCAGACAGAAACCAAAAGTCCCCTGTAAAATTACTGGAATGGTCATATTAAGTCTTCCTCGAACTTCTAATCACCCCATAATTTCAACTATAACATAATGGTTAGAGGTCTCTCCTCCAATGGGTGAAGGCAGCTGCCCCAAAATGTAGCTCAGTAAAGTTGGTTGAATGAACACTAGCACTAGCACAAAAATACCTAACAACACATACAATAATGATTATTCAAAACTTCAGATCTTCTCCACTGTTAAATACTTTTCCTTTGTATTCATGTTTTATTTGTTTTACCTTAAGTCACCCCCAATCATGCTGACATCTACTACCGATGATTACATTAGACCTAAAAGTGTTCTTAAACAAATGAAAAATACTGACTTCCATTCCTGAAAGCCCTGCTTCCAATTTTCAGGAGGAAATTAAATAATGTATAAATCAAATACTGGGCCTAAGCCCAGACAGCTGAACATCGTTTTGTCCTTTCAAGGCAAAGAGGAAGTGTCTGCTGTGGCAGAGACATGCCAAGAGAAATAAAGCTTAACCTCAGCCCCATGTGAAAGTGATTTTAGATAATCGGGGGTGTCTGCAAATAGGTTAAAAATGGGACCACATACTAACAGGGAACTTTCCATGGAAGTTAAAAAATGTATCAAGATCTAACCTCCACCTTAAAAACAAAATATGTTGGGAAAATGGCATGGCCTTAGGAATTCTATATAAAGGCTGCAGAGGAAAGGGAAAGCTGCTGGGGAGGAAAGACTTGACAAGGCAAAGGGAAATTAAAACGTGTTTTTGCTTATCAATTACTATAGGCTCACAATTTGGTTTCTTTGTAATTATAATTGCCAAATTCAAAAAAAAAAAAGATGTCTGGATGTGAAGAGGAAAAGAGGAAGGAGTAGGGGAATAAGGGATGGGGAGAGAAAGTGCAAAAAAATATGTGGGTAGAGTGGTAGATGGTGAAATTATTTAGATCAGGGGCTAGCTAATTTATTCTCTAAAGGGCCAGATAGCAAATATTCTAGGCTTTGTGGAGAACGCAGTCCCTCCTGTAACTACTCAAATCTGTTCTTGTAGCGTGAAAGCAGCCACAGGCAATATGTAAATGAATGTACATAGCTGTGTGCTAATAAAACTTTATGGACACTGAAATTAGAATTTCATGTATTTTTCTTCTTTTGATTTTTCTTCAAACACTTAAAAATGTAAAACTATTCTTATCTTATAGGTCTTAGAAAAACATATTGTGGGGCAGATTGGACCTGGAGACTGCAGGCCATAGTTTGCTGACCTCCGACTTAGTTAACTCCCCATTACACAGAACATTCCTATGAAATTGGGCTTGACTCAAATTTTGGATTCTGGATTAGAAAAACTAGTGTTCTTCCTTTTTTTTTTTTCTTCCAGGAGATAACCAAAAAGATGGTAATAATGGTAAGAAGCATTTATTTGAAAGATACAGATCTTCTCAGCCTATAAAAAAGACAAGCGTCTCTACTTTTTTTCCAGTAGGACACTTACACTAGGTAGCATATCAAAGTTTATGTAGTAAAAAATTTGAAGCCAAATGCTATATAACCATTAATATGTAGCATTATTCAGAGATCAAGAATGATTTTAAAATATTATCCCCTTCATCAGAACTTAACATTTTATAAACATCCTTTGCAGCATAATGCTAGTCTGGAATTATTTGTAAGTTTCCATCATCACCTCTATGGAAACCAGAGGGCTGGTGACTAGAAGGATTTTCTGGTGGAACATATGCTTTACAGATCACATGGTGATAAAAACTTTATGGAGCATCTGACCTAGACTTCCAGAAACAAAGGGGATATAAAAGTACAAGGCATCTATGTTCATGGTTTTTGTGAAGAATAAGTTTTATATATTAAGTGTACTGTTATGGAACAAACACAGACTTTCCTTTTCTGTATTGAAAGAGAAAGTCTTGTAAAACATCCTGGGAGGTGTCTCAGAACCTTGATCTGGGAAATACAACATTCTTTCTTTTCCCATCCCTGTCTCTCTCTTCTTCCTTTTATTTATTTATTTATTTATTTTTGGAGGGGGAGGGGAATAATCCCAGTTAGTCTCCTTAGTTATCTGAGCAAATGAAGCCACCTTCTTTAGGGAACTGCTCCTCAAGTACTCCAACACTTTGATAAGCCAGTCATAGTGCCCTGTCCCTCAGGCCACCAGGGTAGCTGCATGATAGAGCTGGTACAGACAGGTTGTATCCCAAGGGTAACAACGATCCAAGGAAGATTTAAAAGGAATACACTATCCAAAAATGGTTATAAATTATGATTATTTCCAGACTCGTATTTTTATGGACTAATCACCCATAGTATACAGGATCCCAATCAATGTGTATTGTATACTCAAGCTCATTATAGAGAACTTGGAGCATACCTTTTTATTTGATGGCAAGTTCTGGGCAGGAATGCAATCCTCCATTATAATATTGTTTGTATAAGGAAATATAATTCTTTCAACAATGATCTGTTCTGTGATGGTCTCCTTTATGGCACAGTTTCTAGGAACTGACTGCAGGAGAAAAAGTTGCTTTAAACATCCACATAAAAGTGACTGAGGCTAGAGGAGAGGGATGGCCACAAAGAGTGGAAAGGCCAAGTGTATACAACAGGCAGTGGCAATGAGGGCACTCAGTGAATACCTTTTTTTATTTCCTCTCACCCTGTTTTTTTTTTTTTTCTTAATAGACTTTATTTTTTTGGGGGGAGTTTTAGGTTTACAATAAAACTGAGTGGTAAGTACAGATACCTCCTGTGTACCTACATACACACAGCATCCCCCATTATCAACATCCTCCAGAACTTTGGTACATTAGTCACAATTGATGAATCTACATTGGCACATCATTATTACCAAAGATTAATAGTTTACATTAGAGTTCACTTTTGGTGGTGTACATTCTATGGGTTTAGATTAATGTATAACAATATGTATCCATCATTATAGTATCATACAGAATAGTTTCACTGCCCTAAAAATCCCCTGTGTTTTGCCTGTTCATCTCTCCCTCTTTCATAACCCCTGGCAACCACCGATCTCTTTACTGTTTCTATAATTTTGCCTTTTCCAGAATGTCATATAGTTAGAATCATGCAGTATGCAGCCTTTTCAGAATTCACTGCTTTCACTTAGTTATATGCATTTAAGTTATATGCATTTAAAGTTCCTCTATGTCTTTTTTTTTATGGCTAGATAGTTCATTTCTTTTTAGTTCTGAATAATATTCCATTGTCTAGATGTACCAGTTTATTTATCCATTCATCTACTGAAGGACATCTTGGTTACTTCCACACTTGTTATAGTTATTCTTTTAATTTTTCTTTTGCTTTAGAGTCAAAGTATCAGGTTTCCAGTTATGAAATGAATAAGTTATGGAAATTAATGGCACAGCACAGGGAATGTAGTTAATAATATTGTAATAGTGTTGTATGCTGACAGATGGTAGCTACACTTGTGGTGAGCATAGTATAACATACAGAGTTGTCAAATCACTATGCTATATACCTGAAATTAATGTAACATTGTGTGTCAAGTATACTAAAAAAAAAAAAAAGTATGCAGAATTAATCATGTAAAAAAAAAAAGTCAAAGTATCAAAAGTAGACAGGGACTTAATTAGCAACCACTATAATCCTCAATACAGGTATGAGGAAACAAACCCAGAAGTGACATAACTGGTCCATGGAGTTTTTCCCATGGAGTTTTTCCCTTCCTGCCGCATTTGTTCGGGCCAACTGGCAGCCTGTGGGTTGAAAGATGTTGGTCTCTATAGTAGGGGGTTCACTCCAGGCTTAACACCCCAAATGTCACTTTTTAAAATAGTTTATTTTGATACATCCAGTTTTACAAAATACTATGACTCACACAGCTCTAAAAAAATTTATTGGCTGTGTGCTTACTCAAATTAGAGATAAAATATTCAGGTAATAATTTAATCCTCACTATGACTCTGGGAAGTAGGTGCTTTTACTGTAACTACTACACATATGATGGCCATAAGGCTAGAAAATGTCAGAGATGGGATTCAAATCCAGGTCTGCCTAATTCCTTGAGACTGAGCTCCTTTTATCTCTGCAATACTGCCTATCTATCTATCTATCTATCTATCTATCTAATTATATATACATTTTTTCCAGTTGAAACTTTAAAAGAAACTGTCTTTTTAATCAGAGACAATAAGAACTCACGATAAGGAAATAATAAGTTTCAGATTTCTTTACCATGGTCCTAAATCTTGAGGTCTATTTCAGCATCCACAAGATGCAAGGTGCCATTTATATAAGAAACATAGAGATTAAGATTTAAAACTGCCCCTTAAAACTTCAGCATACAAGCCACCCTAATTTGGAAATATAACCAATTTCTTGAATGTACATACCCAAGAAAAGGCATCATATTGTAATTATGCATTTATCACATACTTTATATTTTTAGTTTCAGAGACAAAAATTAAGACATAAGCCAGTTAAGTCAGTTAGCTAAGAATATAGGTCAGATTGCTACTGGACTTTCTGTCCTCTCCAGGTCATTTTCCTGGCCCCAAATAAAATAATGAAAAAACAATTGTAGGTAAGAACCATTTAAAAGAACAAAGACAACAGAAGAGGCTACTAGAACTTTATTCAAACGCTGCTAGCAAACTTATCTGCACCGCCCCTAGGGAGTCTCATCATTTGGTTTCTGCAGGCTCCCAAAGTCATTTAGGAAATGTGAATGCCTGGACTCCAGGGTAGAAATGGGATATTTTTACAATGTGTTACTGTGGTTGTTTACATTGAACTGGAACACCATGGGGTTAAAAAAAAAAAAAAGTACTATGGAGAAAACTAAGGTGGATATAAGTCAATTAAAATATAAACTGTTTCCCACACTCTTGGATGTGAAGGCTAATGCATCTGTACAACTCAAGAAACAACAGTAAATGTGCTTGTGCTTAATCACACAGCATATGAGTTGTTTTTATTCCAACCCTGGAACTTTGGGAATCTTCTTCTTAGTGAAAATATGACTCTCAGTAAACTTGACTTTGACCAAAACGTTTCAGATAACTTTCGTGAGATCAATTGATGGTTCTTCATTCCCGATTCTTGCCTCAAGTTCTTTCATATAAGAATGACACCCTGTCATTACCAGATGGTCTTTCAAATACATGAACTATTCTAATGGAGAGTCCTATGATTATTTCCAGATTTAATCAGTGCCTAAAGCACTTGTGCTAGAGAAATGGGTAACACGATATGATAGGGGTTTTTAAAAAATGTATTCTTTTATGTAATTAATCTGAACCTTGCCCCAAACCAGCACTGATCCAAACTTGTTATCATCAAAAATCAAAATTCATACCCAATGTAAAAGGAAGTAAGCAAGGTCTCTTTATCTCCAGTGTTTTGGTGAGTGCCTGGGACTTGAAAGTATTTGTTACTAGACTCAATGGTTTCAGACAGTCCAAAAAGAACATGTACTACTTCTTTCCTGAGACAGAGTTTTTAATGTAGTAAATTTTTACAAAAGTGAAAACTGCATGCATTCAACCTTTCATTAATTAAACCTGTGAGCCAGACACTGTTAAATCTTCTCTGGTCAATCAATTCACCCTAAGATTCTGAAGCTTTAACACTATTACAGAGGCATTCTTTCTAGAGAGTGGAAATGGTTCTCAGATCATTGCAAAAGGGCAAGTATTAAAATAATTAAGAAAACCCTTTAAAACTACACTGAGCTACAACTAACATATAGACTCACTCTTTGTGATAGTGAATATGAGACTAGATTATCAAGTAGGTCAGAATGTAAAAAAAAAAAAAAAAAGCTATAGTAGAAGTTTCATTTGAGAGAAAATGTTAAATAGACAAGATCACTAATATGATCAGGTCGTGACCTAAACAGAAAGTATGTAAAACCATGAGACTAAAGGATCATTTGTCACATCAGTGTATTCAATCTGACTTTCTTATCTAGAAAGTAGTATTAAACTATACTAAAAAATCCCATTTCTATAAGCATATGATCATCCACACATATAGAGCTTCTTCTTTCTCTTTATGTGATACATCTTATATTAATTAAATTTTTACATAATGGATATTTTCATTTGAGGAGAAATTCCAACAAAATGAAAACTAGTCTAGATGATCAACTCCATTAAGAGGATCCACAGATGCCTCAAACTCAGTATGTTTACATTTTTAAAATGTGAATTTCTGTATATTATTTTTCAAAAAGAGGGACTGGATTTTCTATGTATTACACTACACATAGTAAAGTGTAAAAAAATCAATCTTACAATAGTTCATTATATATGGATTCAGTAATTCTATGGGTCAAATAAAAGATTCATGAAATAGACTCAAGTTGACACTTGCAGATCAATAAACTCAATCCCCTTTTCAACTTTCCAGGCCCCCTACCTACAAAATCATCTATATCCACCCTATTCTCAACAATGTAAGAGGACAGGGCTCCCTTCCTTCAGCTAAGAGCCAAACCTTTCTTTGTGCTCATGATCCCAGTCCTCTGTGACCTTCCTTCATTAGTTACTCCTTTCCCCATTTTCTCTCCTGGATATTTTCACTCTCCCTCTGACTCTTCCTCCTCAGCCTGTAAACATGCCCATCTTTCTCATCCTAGTCCCTACCCCACCAATATTTCTCTAGATACCAATCTAATCTCTTTTCTCCTTTTGTTCAAATACCTTAAAGGAAATACCTACATCAATACCTCACATTCCATTTTCATTTCAATTCTCCACAATCTAGATTTTGCCCTCACTACTCCACTGATACTGCTCTCAGTGAAGTCACTAATTGACTTGCATATTGCTAAACTCAATAGGCCTGAGTCCTTCGGTTGCATTTGGTAATGTTTTTTATCCCACCAGTTTCCAGAAGCCATCTTTCTCTAATAATTTCTGTTATGTTTCTTATGTCTGCCTTTTAGATTTTGGTGTTCCAGGTTCATTCTTGAACCTTTTACTATTCTCATTTTATATATTCTACAGCATGATCTTTATTCTCTTGGTCTCATCTCTTAGTTTGTATATTCAGCTGCCACCTGCTGACATCTCTTCTTAGATGATTCAAAAGCCCTTGATATTGAACATGTCCCAAATTGGGTTTATTACTTTTATCCCCAAACTTACCTATATTTTTTCCTCTCACTTGATGGTCCTATCATCACCCAGGGTAGCTACCTGAGTTGATTCTTTTATCTTCTTGACTAATTAATCCTTCAGTCTTACTTCCTAACTGCTTTATGAATATCCTTCATTTCACTATCTTTAACTAATACAAGTTTAGGCCCTAATATTTCTTCATCTGGGCTATTATCTTTTTTTTTTTTTAATTTTATTTATTTATTTTTTTATTATACATATATTTTTAATGTTTGTTTATTTTTTTAGAGGGAGAGAGAGCATGAGCAGGGGAGGGGCAGAGAGAGAGGGAGTGAGAGAATCCCAAGCAGGGTCCCCACTGTCAGCACAGAGTCCGATGCAGGGCTTGCTTGATCTTACA